AATATTTTGATTTGTAATTTATAGTTGTTTTTGACAAATGTTACAAGCCGTATGTTCTCGAAGTTCACTACCTTCTGCATTGTCAACCGCGGGATCGTTAGATTAACAAACGGCCGCGGTATCCACTCCTACGTTTAGCAGCTTCCGCTTGGAAATTTCTCATCTCGAGTTTCACAGCCGGGCTTCGCTCCAAGAAACAGTTGAAATTTACGGTCCCGGGAAGGGGCCCAGCAAGTGAACCCATAATATCCACCGACGAGCATTCTTGGCGGCCTTTTGATCGCAGTCCTCTAACGGCAGTGTGTTTGCGTTCTAAACCGCGCGGACACGGAGGACCACGTGAGAACGAAGCCGGACATCTCTTGGCCGCATAGCTCGAGGGAGGATAAACGACCTCTCGCTCGGCTGAGATCGAGATTGCAACGGCGCGGCGCGGAGCGGCAGTAAAAGCTCGCGAGATCTCGTGTACGGCTCTAATTTAACCGTAGGACACCGTTTGTTCCCGGCGACAACGGCTTTGTGTCCCAGCGAACAAGAAATCCAGGTTACCCGTGTCGACGAGACTTCTCTTCTTCCCTAGCCGCACACACATAGAAGCGGATCGGTGGCCCTCGTTTCGCTCGAAGACGAAACGTCGCTTCGCGTCACATCGCCGGTTTTCACCTGCATGCTCGCTGCATTGCGGCTCGCTTCTCACGCTGTTATCGCGTCACCCGCACACACGGTCGCCGACGATAAAGCAATATCTCCAGACCTTTTAACGAACGATCGCGGAAATTTTTCTTTCGCGTTGTTGCGTGATCGACGCGAGCCGACTCGACGCGAAACAATCCTCCGTTTCGTAACGCGCGCGCGTACTTCGCGAACATCTGCAAGCGCTGCGCCTACGGTGAATAAACATCGATGTGGAAAGCATACACAGAACTGCTACCAAAATTAGAATCGATTATTTCTCTTTGATAGAAATTGTTGACGGAATGTAAGCCATTATCCTGGCCGTGGTCTATTTTAGTGATAAACGACGCGTTCGAGTTAGAGACGATTCTCGCTGCCCACGCGTGTCTTCTCAGTCCTCTCAATCAGTGACAATTCACGGGCAACGTCATTGTCACGACCGTGGTGCTATGGTGGGAGAAAGTGTCTCGAGATTCCGAGGACTAATGACAGTGAGACTGACCAGCTTCTACACTTTTCATTTAAAAATAAACTGGTTTACAATAAAATTACTAATTGTCTAAGGGGTTTATTTTCACTGGTGACACGTGTCATCACAATATTTTATCAAACGAGATTTTTATCGGCTTGAAAATTACCAAGGGCATGAAATCTAGTATCGTAGTGGTAAATGCGAGGTATCGGTAATCATAAGCAAAAACAAGGTACCTCAGAGAGCCCCGATGCTATTTTCCCGAACTAGTATCAGGGATTAGATCTCCAGCTGCTCAGGCCTTAAGTATCTACTAACTTAAGCTAGAATAGCTTATGAGGCCTTGATCGCCTACCCTGTTGATGCTCTAAACAACAGGAGATCTAACTCCTCCGAGTCTGCATCTGAGGTACTCTTGCGCACCCTTTTGAGGAAATAGCACCGGGGCCCTCTGAGGTCCCCTTGCTTTTGCATGTTTTTACCTATTTACATCTTCCATTTACGGCTATGGCACTGTATTTCATGCCCTTGATGATTTCCATGCTGCTAAAAATCTCGGGTCGTCCATGTCGTGCCCTTAAATAATAGTTGCAATTATCCAATTATGCTCTGCAATTTGTCAGATGTGGGCTTTTAAACAGCTTAAAATCACGAGTCACTGAATATCACGATAAATAAGTAGAGAACAGTAATAATCTCCGTCAGAGTGATTCATTACGAGAGAACGAACACGAAACTTTTAATCGAATTAATCGAGCGAGCACCTGGTTGCAGGATAAGCGATCGACGTATCGTTCAAGTTCCCGGTACACGCGAAAACATGCGAACGAGTCAAGTTTCTCACGAACTGGAGGACGGAATAGCGCTACGTGCTCTCACACGTATTCACGTAGTACGACTGGCGAGTAGCGGCAGATCGTGGTGCGCACGATCCGCCTCGGCAGCTCGCTTTCTTGTCATGAATCAACGATATTCCTTGTAAATATTTATCCATGGCTTCAAAATAGACCTGTACCGACGATCGCTAGGCCAGAATCTCCAGCAACTCCTTTCCTTCGTCCATTGCCTCGGAGCCAGACAATAAAACTTTTGCGAGGGTCGTTGCTATGCTAATGACTCCTACGGCTCCCGATTCAAAGATCGACGGATCGGCTTAATTGAATTGAAAGCTCCTCCGATGGACTCGATTTTAATGTCGCTCTCCGCTTGACGACGTGTCCCTCTTAAAATGCAATTTAATTATCGTGAAACGCTGTCTCCGTTCCGTTGAAAGGGAACGCGCGGAGAGAGCGTCGAGTGTCGTCCTCGCGGCGGAACACCGAAACGAGCGTAATTCAATCAAACGGAGCCAACTCCACTGACACAGGTTAACATGCACTGTCACCGTCGAGCATCGAGTCTCGCCTGGTTTTAAGATGGCATTTCGATCCGTTGATTAACGAGGGCCAATCGCTAGAAGCGAATAAACAAAATCACGGGGCGATGGAGAACGCCGCGATCGTCTAACATCGTGGTGATCACCGTTCGAGGCCTGAAAACGACGCGGAATGACGGACAAGGATTTACGTGGAACTGGCAATTTTCCGCGAGCAGCCACGGAAATGCCCGCAGCCTCGAGACCTCTCACGCGACGAACGTGCGCTTACACGTACGCGCGCACCGCAACTGCTGGCTGCCCGCGCGCGGAGATCGCGCGGAACACGAGGCTAACTAAGTAAGCTTCGTGTGTCGCATGTGCCATTCCCCTGGTCTCGAGCACTCGGCCCTCTTCGCCTGAACGACCTCTTTGTCGTTGATCACATACTTGCGAATGCAGATTGCCGCGAACTAGTTCCTCCTCGTGATCGAAGCTTTAATCGCATCTCATTGCGAACTGGAGTTAATGGTGGAAGTGCTTCGATTTGTCACAATTTTTAAGCAAGCTTGGATATTGGAAATGGAAGTTAGTCATATAGTGAAACAGTATTAAACAACCTTGCAGTTTCATTTTTTTAAAGGATTATTTAAATACTCATTTCTTTTGCAAAGATAATGACTGAACTAGAATTTCGTGAATTAGTTTAAATTTATCTTTACAACGAGCCTTGACGTCGAAACGTGGTCCAGTCTGAATGGTAGGAACCGTGATCCTCTTTATCGCCGTAGTTATCTTGGCAAGTTCTCGCAAATATTGTCGTGGCGGCTTACGTCGTGGATGCTGAGGGAAAGACTGGAGTGCTGGAGCCTCGACGACAAGGTTGGAGGTGGGGACGAGACTATAAACTGCACCAGGAGTCCCTGCAGTCAAGCGATGCAGACTGAACGCCTGCTGTGCTTGCGTAACCAATCGGATCTTACGCTTGGCGGCAAGAATTATGAACTCACGGACGAGAAATGGGCCCGAATCCCTTCTGTTCTTTGGAGTCGAATATTTCTAGTGCCTTGAACTTTCAAGACCTTTTCGTGACCCATAGATTATAAGGTAGTTAACAATGACATATTAAGTACAAGTTCGTGCGCATTAAAACAATATAAACTATCGTGATCGTCTCTTATACCAATTTGAAAAGCTCGTATAATAAATATTTTAAATGAAGTATGTAGAGTAATATGACTATTTGAATATTTTTTTCAATTATACTTATCAAAAACAGATTAGATTTTCAATTGAGTGTCACTTCAGATTAATGTAACAAGTGGGACGATGTGCTGTTCCATTCCTGCCAATGAGAGAGAACGTAATGCGTTATTCAAGTCTTGGCGGCCGCTATAACAATCGGCCTTCACGGGAACGGAAATTGTGATAACACCAATAACCGAGATCACCGGAGTTTACTATGCAACAGATGGGGGATCTCTCAAGTGCAGCTTGCACGCGCGAATATTAAACACTTGCTTCGCGGTTACCTGTACGCTCATTTACGTTCACGCTTGCTTTTCTCCAAATGTTTTACATCACCTCATAAATGACGGGTAATGAAGTTATTGATATAATCGCTAGAAAATTCTGTGTTATGTTAACCATACATAAAAGGTGCAATTTCAACGTGTAACATGTTGGTACATAATTTATATAACGTTCACTTGAATATGCCAAGTAATATTGATCACTTGGGGAAATTCATCAAGAAAGTACGAGTTGAAGAATAACACGTGAAGGGCCCGTGGAGTACGAAGGAAGGTGGGCACGACACCCACGTGTCGTCCGACCACGTACAGAATATTCCGGCGCGGAAGAAACGGAAAAAGTCTCCCCTCGCGCAACCTACGCGCGTGTAACCCGTGATACTCCGACCGGTAATGCACAGTCGTTTGCACGAGGGGAACGAGTTCCTTTCTGGCTGTGCCGACGCATGTAAACACCGACTCGAGGAGGATCAGTCCGAAAGGGTAGGCACACATATCATCGGAGGGTCATCCTCCTACCCTGCTGGAGTCGAACGTCGTGACCATCAACGGACATGCGTTCGTCGTACAAGGACGCATCGCACAATGGAGTCATAAGGAAGTCGCACTCTGAATTATGAGACATTGTCCAGCGACCTGCTTCACCCGCATAATTGCGTGCCGATCGAGTTGTTCGCGGGATGCAATTTGTTTCGTCGACCGGCTGGAATTCGACTGGCTAATTAAAGCTGGCGGCGCGATTGTCTTTGGCTATTGTTACTCGTTGATGAACCCTGGTCGAGAGGTGATTGCGAAGGTGTACATGACTCAGGGGAAACTTTAAATGGCGCCGTTGGATTAAATTAGTATCGCCCGCTTTGAATTGTAAAGGTGAGCAAAAAATATTCGTCAGGTTAATATCGTACTTCACCTCGAAAAGCGTACTCGTCGCGGATTACGCTCACGGCTGAGACGCATGTTATATTGCTATCGTTCATCGTAAAGTCGAGCAACAGCTTTTCCATGAACGTTATCGCGACAACGGGTAAGCAAGACTGGATGTTTGCACGCGTATGCACGTTATTACGACCTGGATTTAATGCCACTAACAGAGCTGCTCGTTCTGTTCGCTTCGAATCGAAACTGGAACTACGGTTTCGTAAATAACAGCAAGATTCGGATTTCGCAAATAGAAAAGAGTGAAACATACAAGGAGCACACAATATTACTATTGTTTCATTCGATCATTAATCTTCTTTAATTCTACATTCTGTCAGAAATTAAATAGCACACTTTACATACTTTAATTAGTTAGAAAACAACCTATTTCATGAAAGAACAATACTTTTTTTCATACGTCGATGCACACGCAGCTATAATTTCTTGCTGTCATATTTTTTACGATAAAAATGCTAATTCGTCTGACACACTTGTAAAAGCAAAATACATATATTATGTACTATATCAAGTAGATCAAAATGGTTGGACTCAGACCCTACCAAGCGGTTTTCCGGCTACTAGCGATAGGGTCCACTGACAGAAATCGAAGAGAAGGAATGCAAACATCGGAGAACACTGTATGCCTTGGTCATATTGGTGGTCACACGTACTCACGTGGGTGGCAGACCAAAGTGGGTGGCTGGTCGACTGGTTGGTTCGAGAGTTGAAGTACCAAAGCTGAAGTGTTCACCGTGCTACGGACACTCGACAAATCCATAACCTTTTCTTTTCCCATTCTTTCAATTTCTGCAGTGACGAGTCGACGAGGCGAAGGAACCTTGAGAACTGATCGATCAAGAATACCTCTCGAATACTTTAAGGTGGACAGAAATTAGAGTTTATTAGAGCATTCGCTTGTAAGAGAACAGCGAGCAATATGTATAGGTTTCGCAAATCGAACCGCGTCCTCGTGTTATAATTACCATTCGTTCGTAATATAACATGAATACTCATTACAAGTGAATGCTCCAGTACGTGTCCACTTTAAGAGGAATTGTATACAACTTGCGAGCGAATTTCATAACGAAATGGAACGAGTCTGAGAAATGAAGAGTATTTTCCCTTTTGCAAACTGGTATAAACATTTAAAAATTTGAAATGCTTCCTCTGAGAGTAAATTGAATTTATGAATGGAACTAAATATGCATTTAAATTCAAGATTATTCTTCCTATTATCATATTAAATAAATGCATTCAATTTTGTGACAAATCACTATTAATCTGTTTATTGCCGAATAAGCTAATTCCTATTGCTCCACAGAAGTCTTCTGTATCGTTCTCGGTAAAAAAAATGAGTAACAATATCCGGTCGACCTTAGCAACAACGATAAAGCTTGCTTAATCGCCGGTCAAAGCTCCCCTTCTCATTCAACTAATTACACACAGAATATGTCGTTAGTGTGTCGTAGTAACTCGAATAAAGAATGAATGGATCCACCATCTACTTGATAGACGGTCCCTTATCTACTGCTAGTACTACCATTCCGTGTTTACTCCCGATAAGGCGTCGATCGATAACAGAGTTCACGAGTTGATGTCGATCGTCTCACTGACCCACATAGTACTTTAGTTAGCTTATGCAAAAGCTGGAAGCATAGAAATAAAAGGGGCGACGTCTTGGGATTAAGGGGACCTAAGAAATCACCTTTTTGGAATGAGTCGATCCTGGAAATTCTCGTGTTTGAGAACGATCGAACGCGAATCGATCGAATGCTCCCTGACCCAATTCTCTGTCATGAATAACAACGAGAAGCCGGATCAGCTTTGAGTTACGACTTTCTTCGGTCGCGTCTTGAACGCTTTACGCGTTAACCCACTTCTGAGGGACCGCTGCGCGCTGCGCTCCGCCCGGATCGATCATGTTTGCTCTTCTTTATTTCGCAGCTTCTCGATCGGGAGGTTTATCAAGCGTGCATGCACATGCATGCTATCCTTCTGCCACTCGTCGCAGCGACGATTTTTTCTGACGTGCCAGTCGGCCGTCGGGAAAAAAGAGTGGAAAGAGAAACGAAAGACGTTCGATTGCACTCGATGTTCTTCTTGGACGACTCGGTCGAGTGTCGGCCGTCTCGAATGGAAGAAAGAGGAGGCTACTTCGGATGAAGGGCTTCTCCTGTCTGGTTTGTCACGATCGATCAGTTAAACTCACAAGACGCGATTAAGCGTTCCACGGCTGGCTGGCCTGTTCTTTATAAGGCAAACGGCTCCGTCTTTGTACCAACACTCGAATTTTGCGAGCAAATATTTTAGTTTGATGATCAAAGAAACCTCTTTCAAAGCTTTTCATCCTTCTTTCTTACCTAAGCCTATCTCGCGCATATCAGTCTTTCCTTTGACGAATATTTTTTTAGACAAATCCATTGTACATGTACAACATAGGGTCTAACTGTCATTAAAAGCGATGAGAACCTCTTTCATTTTGCTGATGTAAAACATGGTAAAATTCTACTTCTAGTTAAAAGTAATTTATATTGTATTTGCCAAGTATGCACCTGCCTTTAGCGGCATATGGCGACCGATTTGCATTAAAAGAGCTCCAAATTTCCATGAGTTAGGATTATCACTAGGTAGTAATTAAGCCGATAATTATGAGCCAGTTATTATGAAATTTCAGTATAACACATATATTAACATTATTACTTCAATCTAAAATATTTGATTAAACGCTTGATGATTAACAACTAATTGAGTCGTTGTGAACAGTACCTAATATCGATCCAGCGAAGGCAAAGATCTAGAAGAGGTCTGACAAGAAGAAACGCGGAGGTATGAGAGGTGAGGCCAGGTGAGGTTGTTCGCCGGTGTTATGGTATGGTAGCCACAGCTTCAAGGTCGTCGGGATCACCACGAGGACGTGGCCGCTGGGCCAATCGGAGCTCGCCACAGCTGCGCGGTTCTTTGAAAAACTCCGGCCGCGTGGTACGTTTTTGTCACACGGCCGACTCGCTGAGACTTCTGCCACGGCTAAGAGAACAGCGAACACCGTTCAGGAAACGAGCGACGTTGCGCTTCTTCTCTATTGTTACATCAGCGGATCTGCTCGACTCGAGGGGCCATTAATCTTTAACTGGCTTCTTGAATAATTCAGTTGTTCCAGTTGCGAAAAGGTGTTCGCCTGAATCTGTTTGTCCTCTCACTTTTTACGGCAACATGTTTTCCATTTATCGATCATGTCGCATGTTAATAGATAACCGATCGTAAAATTATCGGGGATTGTTCCATGCCGTATGCAGAACACGAGCGCAACGCGAATTGAATTAACATAACCAGCCGCGAAGGTGAAGAACGAAAGCCAGCGAATCGCTTTCTTCGGTACGAGCGTTCCAACCCAGCCACCTTTTTCATCGTTGTCATTGCAAACGAGCCTCGTTACGGCGAGCGATCTCGCGCCTAGCCACGCGCTTAATTGGCAGGACGAGCCGGTCAAGGATGCGACTCCGCCGCGTCGCGCCGGTATGAAATTTCTCGCCTTTAGTCCTGGATCGTTGCGTTAGGAACGCGGGATAATTAATTGTTTCTTGAAAAACAACGCGACCAGGATTATTATTTATCGCGAGCGCGACGTTGGCCGCCTGTAAATAAGTCACGCGGGGCGGAAGAGAAATTTAAAGGGGATGCAGTGGTGAGCGCGAAATAATTCAGACGCTTTACGATTCTCCCGGCTATCTTATGGTAATGAACCATCCTTCGCAGCAGGAAAAAAACGAGCGGTACGAAAAGATATGAACGAACCAGGCCGGGAGCGGGATTGGCGTGGTTGTAAAGTAGCCGCGTAACAACGGAGCGCATCTTATAATGACACGCCGACCGCGTGATCCCATAACGGTATCGCCGTTATCGTTTCGAAGGATCGGCGATTCCGCTGCGAGCGGATCGCAGTTACGTCAGTGTGTCCTGCAACGCCTACGTGTTCCTCTTTTCCAATGGCTGTCCATTCAGCTTCGCGATGACGATCATCGATTCGACGTGCGACAAGATGCCACGGTTTGGTTTTTTCAACCGAAAATATTTACCGCGATTACTTTCTCTTCCGGCTGACAACGCGACACTAAAGGTGAACGCGAGATACTCGTGCGTGTGCGAACCCGAGAGGAAAGAAAGAAAAAGATAGAATCGCAGCCTGGCGAGAAACATCTTGGCAGATACCATCGTATCGACTTGTCTCTCGTTAAGGTCTACTTCGTTCCGACCACAACGAACGAGAAACAAAAAGTCGAAGAGATGTTTGTTGGCCCGATGCATCGTGCTCGCCGTTCTGATTTTCATTGGTCGCGGGCCATTTCTCATCGGTGCTTCGACAAGTGTGATGCGAGCCACGATAAATCTGCCTTCGCATTAGCGGCCAGATAGATCTAGAAGCCCACGGGAAGAAATTGCTGACGTGAGCCACAACGCTCGTAATAATGTTCAACATATCAGGGAAACATAGATCATTGGTAGCCTTTCTAATTTCTTTGCTCGAGTTTATCGAATTAAACTCAAACACTATACTTGGTCATACTGTTTATTCATGCTCCGAATACTTCTGCCTACCCAGCTGTTTCCTGCTATTTTGTGATGACCCGTGTTTAACCAGCAAGAATAAAAACATGCCTGAAATTGTATCATTTAGAATTAACTTCCTTCAAATATCTCGTTCAAGAACAGCATTGATCTCTCTTAGAAATTATTGAATTATTTTAAAATCGTCTACTTATTCTTAAACTTTTCTACTTTTAGCTGCTGAAGTGTGAAGAATTCTAGGAAGTCGAAGAGAATCGGATGCATCCTTTCCCTAACATCGTTAAATCAATTCGTGCCGGAGGTAGACGTTCGACCGTGACAGCCAGCGTGAATCTTTGCGCTCGCGGACACTTGTAAATGCAGCTTTAAAGTTACCGAGGGGTGTAGACACGCCACGACAAAGTGGCCGCGGTGTTCGCGGTGTAACGGCCGCTCGGTTACCGGTTTATCGTGCGAGAGGATACCTCCGCGAGGCGCGAATGCGCACAATGAACAACCGGAGGCATAGGAACTACCGCGAACGGTTTTCCATAATAAATTCGTGCCTACGGATAACAAACGACGCCGGTTGATTAATATTCCTAATTACCTATCCCGACTTCTTCTCGCCTTGCTAAGCCTCCAGTCCAGCAATTAACCTAGCCACTTCGTAAACGGCATTAAATGGTACCTACTGTACTCTTCGGTTCGTTTAATCCCTTTCTTGTCGCAAACAGATGATTTAGCGTGTTATATCAGATTTTAGATCTCTTCATGATTTATATAATCTCAGTCCTTCGCTAGATTCGCTTTATTACTCAATTACAATAATTATTATCGATAAAACATCTTCAATGGTTTCAAACTGTATCGTAAAGATGATTCTTAATGTCGTTAATAATAAGACTTAAATTTAGTCCAGTTGAAACTAATCATCCTTTATTGGAAGTAATATGATTTCTCATCGTGAAACACCACAATTTCGTGCATTCCGCTCCGTATTAAACACTGCGAAGCTAATGAAGCACAGATAGCAGGAATACATTAGTAACTACCGATTCGCCATTGATCATTTATACAGAAATTATAACCACCATGGGGGTAGGAATCTCGGATCGATAAGACAACTCGCTCCAGCCATTTGATTAATAATCATAAATAATCTCCCGAACGGAATCCCAGCTTTCTTGCTATCTTCATCTTCGTCCGTTCGTAATCATTCACATTCTCCGTGCGTCGGAATAATTAACGTCAAATGACGTTTCAAGCTCGTCACGCCAGATAAGGGTTCCTTCTCTCTGTTAAATCCTCACGAGCCAGCTAAGTATTCCTTCCCCCTTTCATCCTTCGGCAACATGTCGCTTAAGAACGAGACGAGAGGCCGGGAAAACTGGTCGTAGATCGTCGTGTCGGTCGATCGCCCACGCGGATCGCTGGTACGCAGGCAACCGGCCTAATCGATGCGTGTTCCCTGTGTAAGCTCCGCGACCGGCCTGATTAATAGTCGCAATTATTATCCAGCTTCTCCTCTACCTTCTCCTAGACTACTCGTTCCTGTTTCTGGCTGCGGAAGCCAACTGAACAGCAATCGCTACCCCTACCATTTGACGAGAGCATGACTCGTAATGAAAGTTCGTAATTAGCGTCATACGGATAGGAGAGCCGTGATGGATAATAAGGAGCCGGCTCGGCGTTCTCTCGCCGCGCCGT